GGCAAAGCAAGAAATATACACTGTGAAGCCCTTATGCACATTGTATCACTGGAGAGTCATCTTAGCTAGGAATGGAGACAAATACATTATGTATGCCTGTTAGCGTAAGGGAGATCATTGTATATAGGTCGATATCTGTATATTTGGGTCTTGCTGTTGAGTTGAGTGTAATATAATGATAATATTTCTTCATATTTTTTTTGTTTACAAGGATCACTTGTAAAAGTCAGCTGGTCAAGATATATTGTGTGGCCTGGTGATATCTATAAAAAAGAAAGGAAGGTGGGGAAATAAATGGCATTGGGCAGCTCCTAATCCCTGGGTAAAGTTTGTTTTTTAAGGATAACCAAATAGAAAACACACCCCGTGGATAAATGCCACTGAAAATAAAGTGATTTCTCTTCTATTCTCAGTGTTTCTCAGTACAAGTGATACTCTTTCACAGGAACAATGATTCTTGCAAATCCCTGATTTGGTTTGGCATTAAATATCCCATTTGTTTTTTGTAGCCAGTTCATCATCCCAACTGGCCCTCAGGCTACAACTCACTTTGCAATTGTTTTATTCAATAGCTATGCCCACTCCCGAAATACCAATTGCAATGTTGCATTTGCTACACTCATAGTAACATGGAGTTCTTTTCCCTCCCTGAAGATGCAGATCATATCAAAGGATCTTAGGTTGGTTTTCTTTTAATGAAGACAGGATGCTAGCCAGGTCCGTTCTAGCCATCACTGTATTCTTTCAGCAGTCTTCATGTGAACATCACTAAGTGCCAGCTTTAAAAAGAGTTCTAGTTGCTTCTTAATTAGGTTACTGCTTCATATTTATCCTCTCTAGGTGAGAACCAACCATAGAGACCTCCCAAGAGAACGCCAGGCAACAAAGTCCATGACAGCCACAGCCTATCAAACTCAGGGAGGATCTGGAAACTATCTTCATGTAGCTATTACATCTACAGAGATTAAGGCCGGAGATAACTTACCTGTCAATTTCAATGTGAGGGGCAATGCAAATTCACTGAACCAGATCAAATATTTCACATACCTTGTAAGTATTATAGATCTGGAGGAAATCCAGGGGCTGCATTTCAATTCATATTGTAGCCTTGAAGCCACTGTCTTAATCTATCATTTCTAACCTTCCCATTAATCGGTATTTGTTCACCCTCAGATATTGACTAAAGGGAAGATTTTCAAGGTTGGCAGGCAACCCAGGGGAGAAGGGCAGAATCTGGTGACCATGAATCTGCGCATCACTCCAGATCTCATCCCTGCCTTCCGGTTTGTGGCTTACTACCAAGTGGGAAACAACGAAATTGTGGCTGACTCTGTCTGGGTGGATGTGAAGGATACCTGCATGGGAACGGTAAGTCAGCCTTCCCAGTAGCTTTCTTAGCAGTCATGGGAACCCCTTTAGTATAGCTGCATAAATCAGATGTGCTTATTTTAAAGCACTTTCAGGGTATTTTTCCCAAAACATTTATTTCTGTTCAGATAGATAGAAAAACTATTTTCCCTTGAATTGGCAATTTTTCTGTCTGTTATAGAGTTTTGAGCTGTTCTTTGCTTTGTATAAA